TGAAATGAAAATCTTCTGTACCATCCTCACACATCCATTGGATTAAGGACATCCTCGATTTTCTCAAACTAGAAAAAAATCCGACTGTCTATGATGGGTAGAAGTGGAATGTGTATGAATCTTTGGGGACCATTCCTTGAATTTGTCAACGCCTAAGGGGGGCATGCTGAGCATGATTAGTATACTATGTCTGGCTGTGGCTATGTCTATTTAATGATGTCTTGTATTTAGCATTTGCTATTTGATGGGTAGGTTTGTTTTTTCTTATTTGTATTTGTTTGTTAGTCTGTTTTTGTTTGTATGTGTGCAGGTTGATTGTTCTTCCAAAAAAAAAGAAAAATGTACATTTATTTGAAATATTGTTTGAGATCATTTTGCTCAATAAACAAAGATTGAAAAAAAAATTACAATTAAAAAAAAATGTATCTAACCTACCCTCAAATACTCGTAGAGAAACAGGCCTATCATTTGTGAAATGGTGTCTATCCCCACATTTATAAAGTGAAAAAACTTTGGCAATTTTCATCTTCTCTAGAAATTTACCCGACTGAAATGACAGATTGCAGATGTAAGTCAGAGGCTGAATAATTTCCTCAATAACCTTCTTAATTACTGTCATATCAGTGGCATCACAGTCAGTTGACCTCTTCCTATTACATTTATTGACAATATCTCTAATTTCACTTTCTCTCACAACAGTGAGAAACATTGAAAAAGGATTTCTGCTGATATAATTGTCATTCGGAGCTCCAGTTGTTGTAGCATCCAGGATTTTTTCTGCCAATTTGGGTCCAACACTCACATAATATTTATCTAAATTATGAACAATGTCATTAATGTGGTCGTTATTTACACAAACTGAGGAAATGTCTTTTTTCCTGAGTTTTTCTTGACAAAATTATTTAATACACTGGAAAAATGATCGACAAAGAAGAAAAAATGTCTTAAATTAAGTGTATTTACCCTTAATTTGAGTAGGTAAATGAGTATTTTCACTCTTAAATTAAGATCATTAGATAATATGCACTTGAAATAAGACAATGCAATAGTTTTTTTCTCTATTTAAATGTAAATTGTCTCGTTCCATTGGCAAAATATCTCACTTTGCTCCCTAAATTCAAGAAAAAACGCACTTATTTTAAGAAAAAATTACTAATGTCGATTGCAGTGTTCATTCCAAATCCCTTTGATATGTTAATCATTTCTATCTAATAATTTACTGTAATAATCTTGTTTAGCTTTTCATACATTAGCAGTTCATTTATTCTTATATTTATTCTCTACATCCAAAGATCTATGCCTTATGAAATCTCTATATAGTTTGTGTTTTTTTTTTGCGGGCATTTTGTAAACCCTTTGTAATTCAAGGAGCTTCTGATTATTTGTTTTTATGAGAGAACATTATAAATGTACAGTTTTTATCATATAATACTTTAAAGGTATTAAGAAAATTATCATATGCTATATCAACATTATATTCTTGCAAAACTTTCTCCCTGTTATGTTTCAATAAGTCATCTTTGAAAGATTTGAGTGATTCCTCTGTTCTTACTCTTTTAAACTGTGGATCACTTTTATCCTTATTTTTATGTAGAAAATGTCGCTGACAACAAAGACTGGAAGATGATCACTAATATGCTGAACTATTAATCCACTTAACGTATTTTTATCTAAGATATTAGTAAATATATTATCTATAAATATGGCACTGTTAATTGTAATCCTGCTGGGTCTACTGATTTAGTGAAAAAGGCTCAAACTGTACATGAACTAGAGGTGAGTATTGGCATGAGTGTTGCGATTCGATACATGTCCCGATACTTGGGTCACGAAACGATATTATCACGATATTGCAGTATCACTATATATTGCCATATTTTCCCCAGCTATCAAAATCAAATGATGAGATAAAACAGCAAGTGCTGTATATTTTCATCAGAAACTATTGATTAGGTATTATCATCCATGTTGTTTGGGGTTTTCTTCCACTGTGACTGCCTCAAATACAGATTTGGTGCTGCACGCACAGCTAAAGGGCTCCACAGCGCTTTCTGCCAGAGTGGTGGTGCAGAGGTAGCCCATTTTCCCATCAATGTTTTATGTAACCATTTTTTTTTTTTTTAATTGATACTAAAAAGTGAAAGATCGATATTATATTGGGCAGCCGAATATCACGATATATTGCCAAAACGATTATTTCCCACACCCCTAACATGAACTGTAATGAACTCTTCAGTAGGTTTATGATTATTTGAGTTATGTAGATCTATATTAAAGTCCCCATAGATGAAGAAGACCTTCTGAGTTGAAACTGTCTATGTTTTCTCAAAACATTCTCTAAATATTTCCATATTTTAACCAGGAGCTTTGTATATACAGTTAACAGTTACATTTTTTGACTTTTCCATAAATATTTCAACTGTTAAACACTCAAATGCATTTTTAGTCGCTCTGGTCATGTTTTCTACTATTTTATACTTTGAGTTTTTGTCAACATACAGAGCTACTCCTCCCCCAGTTTTTATTTCTCTGTTGATATAATTGAACCCATAACTATTCTGCTCAAAATTAGCCCCTTTTCTCATGAGCGATCCATGTTTCAGAGATGGCTATGATGCTGAATGGCTGTTTAAACTGGTTCAGACAGTCTTTGATGTTGAAGTTTGCATAAGAACCTCTACTATAGAGAAAGAGTATCTACTTGAACTGCTCTGTTAAATTGATCAGTTGTGTAGAAGCAGCAGTTATCAACATTGTCATATAAGATATTGTTATCTGGATCCACTTTGTCTTCCATGCCCTGACTTTAATAATCTGTGTAACTGAATGTTTGCAGTTTCCAGGTTATCTGCACTAACAGTTGTAGGTGATAGTGATGTGTCCATAAGTGACAACTAATCAGTTCCTGTAACTTGTGACATGGTGAGAGTGAGTCCTGAGCTCCAAATAATCCTCAGAGAGTTCAGTCATATTTATCCAGCTCTGTGATGTCCTGAATGACCAAAACTTTCGCCTCCTCCAGTGTTCCATTCAGTTTGATTAAGACCTCACAGTTCGTGGTCAGCGTGGACTGAATCTTCTGCTTCCTCAGGAAACAGGCCTTCTTTGCGGTGTCAACGTTCTTCTTGGTCAGGTTCTCGTTAATGAACACGTCCGACCCTTTTAGTAACCTGCCCTGTTTCAGCAGAGCAGTTTTTGTTTCCGGTTGCTGAGCCTCATGATAATCGTCGGTCTGTTGTTGTTCCCTCGTCTCTGGAGCAGTTGGCACGCTTCAACAGGGTCACAGTCCAGCTTTATCCAAATCGACAAGAGGAACGAGGCCACATGTTCCTCTGTGGACTTTGTCTCGTCAGGTGACGCTCACCAGCCGGACAGGGGCCTGCCCGCCAGCGTCAGAGCAAGGCTTGACACGCAGTCCGGTGATGATCACATCATTCATTCTGGTTTGTTCCAAGTCAGCCACTATGTCTTCCAAAACTGCAAACCCTTTGTCCTTTTCCTCATTAAGCAGTCGTAAAGCCTTCACCTCTTTAAGCAGGTTCCAGAATGGACTTTTGCTGGAGTCAAATGGCCGAAGTTTCCCCAGAAAGCAAATCCAACGCGTTCCTTTTCTCCTCGAAATCCTCCAAGGTTTGATTCTTCTTAAGGCCCATACTGGCAACAGGAATGTAATGCCACGCAACAGCCAGAGTCAGAGTAAAATCAGAGTGAAGGATTGTTGGTACTCGGCCTCCCCGTCCAAAAGGTCTGGGCATGTAAAAATGCAAATAGCTGGAGGGAGTCGCCCCGTTTAGGCTTGCATGCTCCTCTTGCTGCTGCCAGGTTTCTGTGAGACAACAAAAATCTATCTGATTATCCCAATTTAAGTCATTAACAAACACTTTGAAAAGAAAGATGTTTAATAAAGCACATTTAATTTTATTTTTTTTTTTTGCTTAATTTGAGTTATATTAATTTTAATTATATTATCATGATTAACATTATTTTCTAAAAATCATAAATATGGATTTCCACTCTTTTTGGTCTATCTCATAAAATCCCAGTAATTTACACTTTTTTAGGGGTAAGGACATAAAAATGAGAATAATTAGAATGGGTTTGAATACTTTTGGAGGCTCAACCTTCTGTGTTATCTGAAATCTGTTCTGCTTTTTGAAGATTTTGTCTATAAAAGGCTGAGTTTCAGTTGTTTTCAGCAGATATACTTGATAAAAACAGCGTCGGTGCAACAATCAAATTTAAGCAATGTCTTTTTGTTTTCTGTATTCTCTGGAGACACCTTTCCAGCTGATAAAAGAAAATGAATTCTGTGTTTTTCTAAACATCTAAAAAGCTCCAGTTAAATGAGGACACAATCGGTTCTCCAAACTTTGACTGTTTTCTAATATTCTCATTAAAAATTAAGACTGTTGTTTTGCTTGCTGACATTTAACTGAACAAATCTCCAATAAATAGGGATCAATAGTGAAAGTGATCGTTCATCACAGCCTCACATCTCCACGCCTTGTCCTGCAGCCATTAAGATGGCTGCACTTTAAGAATGAGGCTCTCGTTTTAGCATATTTTTATACCCCCATTAAAAAATGATTTCCAGCTCCCATTCCTCCTATTAAGGGGCTGAATCAGTGCATTAGTCTGTGCCTCTCTCTGTGACACAGCGTCTGAGTGGACCTTTCATCAACCGTCCTTCTTACAAGAGGTAGCCTGGGCTTCTTTGAGGACTATTTTCAGTGGCGGATTGATCCACGCTCGATGCTCTGAGGACTTTGGGGTCAATCAAAGTTCTCAGTGTGCGTTCTTGCTGAGGAAAGTATGTGTGAAACACTTATGGCCTCTTAAGCCTTTTTGAACAACAAAAAGAATCCTTCAGTTTGAAGATGAGAGCAGATGAAACATTTCTTCTTATGCTTTAGCGGCTCATCAAAATGCAGCAGAGTGGGCAGAATTTAACAGCAGTTAGAGCGATGCCTTGTTTTTCTGACCCTGTGTTTGCTTTGCAGGTGTCCACTGTGATAGCATGTGTGCCGAGGGCCACTGGGGGCCGAACTGCTCCTATAGCTGCACCTGTGAGAACGGGGGTTCCTGCTCCCCGGAGGATGGTACCTGCATGTGCGCTCCTGGATACCGTGGCACCAACTGCAGGAGAAGTAACTGCCTGTTTTTAACTCACCATTTGGTTCCACCAGCTTATGCTTGGCTGTTAATACTCTGTTTTTTCTGATCATCATCCTTAAAGATGATTGCATCTAAATTCTGAATTTAGGCTCATATTAAGTAAAAGATGTGAGGAGAAGTTATGGGTCAGGAGGTTAGAACAGATTTTCTGCAGTTTCATGAGCTTCTGCAGAATAGAAGACCATGAACGCCTTCATAGAAGCAGTGTAAATGAATCTGCTGTGATCGGCCTGTTTTCCAGTGTAGTCCTGTTTCTCTGACCGTGACTAACTGGATGTGCTCTCTTCGTCCTCTGGCATGGGAGCTGGCTCGGAGCTCGTCTGCCTGGCTGTGTGTTTCCTGGACGGGGCCGCCTGTGGAGCTGGTTGACAGTTGCCTTTTGTATCTATGCTTCTTTTTCTATGTCTGCTTCTGTCTACTTGAACCCCAGTCGGCCTCAGCAGATGGCCGCTCACACTGAGCCTGATTCTGCTGGAGGTTTCTTCCTGTTAAAAGGGAGTTTTTCCTCTCCACTGTCGCTACAAGCATGCTTAGTGTGAGGGATTGCTGAAGAGTCAATGAGTCGATGCAATCAACTGGTTTTCCTTAGATAGAAAACTTTGTATCAATTTGACTGTATGATCTGGTTGAACTGTAAAGTGCCTTGAGATGACTTGTGTTGTGAATTTGGCGCTATAGAAATAAATTGAATTGATCCCGGAACCATCAGAACCATCATTGATCAACAACTGGTAGAATCTCACTGAGCAGGGATTAATTCCAAGAAGCTCTGGACGGCTCTACATCTAGAGTTAGATTGATTGTTCTGAGTAGAACAGAAGAAGTGTTTACCTCAGAGTAGGAGATACTGTAGCTTCTCTGGGATGGTTCAGTTTTCCAAATGTTTGGAGGAAAAAGGAACATCCAGCCCGTAGTCAGTAACCAGTCCCTCTGAGGTTGTATCATGGTGAGGTCTTGGAGCAAACCTTCAGGACTTCTTCTTGATTCAAACGTGACTCTCATCTGGACCTCAGGGGAATGAAGACAGATTGCAGAATTAGGCTGGGCAATTCATTGCATCTGCAATATAGTAGCAATTAAAAAAAATGCTATTTTCAAATCACAGAGACTCAAATTTTGGTCACAATATATCTCCTTCCAGCCCTTTAGGTGGTGGTAATATAATTAAATTGGGGTTTGCTGTCGCACAGAAGGAAACAGAGAGTTGCACCTAGATCTATGAATTATAGCAGAAATAAGAACTTTTTCATCCAAATGTTACAAAAAGTCCTGCAACACTGGATTCTGGACAAGCAGGCTTTCAAGGTCAAAACTGAAACCCTGGAGGAAAACATTGACATGAAAATCGCAATAAAATCGCAATATTGGTTGAAATTGCAGTTTTGATTTTTGGCAAAAATTGTTACTCAGAACCTCTTTTTTTCATGTGCTTTTGGGTTTTTTTTGGTTTGCTCTGGGTTATTTTCTTCATGTTAGCTTTGACACATGGCTCTGCTTTCATTCTCTGCCCTCTGATCTTTCCTCTGACCTGAGATTCTTCTCCTAATGTATTTTACCTTAACAACCTGGACTCCTGGGGCTTTTTAAAGGGGATTATTTGTCTCATATCTTCATGTTGGATGTTTGAGGTTTTTCATCCATCCCTCATGAACCCAGAAAAAGGAGGAATCCTTGTCCAGTGCAACGACCTGTAAAATCCCCACCAGGCTGGGAGGAGAGACGGCCTTCCTACAACATCTCTGGAAGAGGTTTTGTCTATTTGCAGACTTTGTTCTTGCTGAGTCTGAGCACTGAGACCCACTCTGGATCTCTTCAGCTTCTCTGTGGATCAGAGCAGAAGATTTAGGACTTCTCAGTTCACAGTTTAAGCAATTATCTTAATGAGGAGATGCTGTAGTGAGAGCGAGGCAGGAGAGCAGCCTGCGAGGGTCTCCTCACCACTCAGAGCAACATCAATTAAAGCTAATTAAAGGCTTTAGGAAGATGTGTGGGTGTGGCTCTGCACTGGAAGGAAAATCCAGGCCAATGGAAACAGCAGACTGACCTAAAGGAACCAGAATCTCAGTTATTAGTCCTTTCAGCTGAACCTTGTCTCCTCTGCAGCCTGCTCTCCTGGTTTATACGGCCATCGCTGCAGCCAGTCGTGTCCTCAGTGCGTCCACAGCGATGAGGCGTGCCACCACGTTACCGGCCGCTGCAACTGTCTCCCCGGCTTCTTCGGCTCCCTCTGCAACCAAGGTCAGTTCTCCACAACTCTCAATGAAAAACTCCAAAATAAAATCCAACTGAACTCATGATGAATGATGCAACCAAAAACACGTCTAAATGTGATTTACAGTCCTTTAAGTAAAACCGAACTTGTTCCGAAGTTTATACATCTGATCCAGAAGGAGGATCATCAGAGCTGCACCGCAAATCAGAGGTTTCCATCCACTCCTCACCTTCGGGACTTTATCTCACTTTAACCTTTTCATGTTTCAGTTACACAATCTACGACAACAACCAAATCCGGGTGGTTGATTTTATGACGAACTAGAGGCTCATCATCTAAATATTTACATGGGAGGTGCTGAACCTGAACCTGATATGAACCTGATAAGGCTGAGGTCTGCTGACTTCGGCTAACAGAACTCAACAGAGGAGGGAGGATAGTGAAGGGAGGTGGGATAGAGGAGGGAGGATAAAGGAGGTAGGTAGCAGGAGGGAGGAGGTCCAACGATTGCAGAGAAGGTCTACCAATGTTGGGGAAGTCTTTCCTGCAGACTAATCTGCTATGCAGGAGTCCGGATTGTTCAGAATCACCATTTGACCCAAACTGTCCTCAGATGAAAAAAGTAGAAGGTTCCAAAATTAGTAGAAAAACATTTTGGGAGAGAAAAGTACTTTAACAATTACGTTTTATATGAAATCAAGTGATACGTAAAGTTATCAGAACTTAAGTTTCCCTTTAAGCAAATGGAGAATTAATACTATGTTAAAACTAAATGGATTAAAAAACATCTCACCCCAGCTGCTCTCAGCGTATAAATCAAAATCACATCATCAGCATAAGAACATTGCTGCTGCATTTATAAAATAAGAGTCTAGTTTTATGTAAATATGAGGTTTTTATAAATGCAAACCTCTGAAGCAGCCATGTCTGAACTCGTAGTTATGTTTATAAAACATCCCCCCACCCTCAGGGGGTATAAATAAATTTCTGCCTGACAAAAACACACAAAAGTAAATCACTTATAGCCTCACAGCTATTAGATTTAAGAAGAAACTTTTGGTACCTCTGTAAAGGTAAGATGTCATAGAATGGTTTTCTGGTGTCAGCACCATTGTAGCTTTGACCCTGCCTGAAATATTAGGGACAAAATACAAAATATTTTGCGTTTTTTGAACCTCGCCAAAATTTTCTTTGAAATAAACATTGCAAAACACTACCAAAATATTATTTATAGCACAAAAAAGTAGTACAGACTTTTAAATCTAAATGTTATGTAAAAATATACCAAATTTGGACTCAATCAGATGAATCATATTTATTTTAGAATGGTATTAGTGAGAAATTTCTTAGGCGGAGGGGCCATTTTGGCACATTTATCCAAAAATGTCACCAAACTGTGCCAAATGTGTTTTTTACATCAATACTGGGGGTTTGTTAAAATTACGAGGTCACGTAGCAGCTGGACCCACCGGTGGGTCCGTAGGGTTCTAGGAGTTAACTGTTTCTGGTATATTTAATGAGAAAACAAACAGATTTTGGTATAAATGAGTGGCCTGTATAAAGCTGCTGCTCCTAAAGGGCACAGGGGAGCAGGATGCCTCCTAGGAGCCTCCCACCGGACGGAGGAGAACCTGAGAAGGACCCAGAACTTTATTTCAGCTGCTGCAGCAACAAAGCCAACACTGGAAAAAATCTAAATCTGTATCAGTCATTGAGGAGGTAAAAGAGACATTTTGCCAATGGAACAAGACAATTTACATTTAAAATAAGAAAACACAATTAAATTGTCTTATTTCAAGTGCATTTTATCTAAATATATTATTTTAAGGGTTAAAAATACTCATTCAGTTGGCAAATCATCTCATTTACCTACTCAAATTAAGGTTAATACACTTAATTTAAGATTTTTTTTACTTATTTCTAGATTGTTTTTCCAGTGAAGTGCTGATCACTAGTTTAAAATGATTCTGCTCTATTTCAGCTTTATTTGAGTTTCTTTTTAATAGAGACTTAAACTGAGACAGATTTATTTTGTCATTTTGTTTAAAACAGCTCCAGACAATTTCATTTTTTAAAGTGCAGCCTTAAAAAACAGTAATAAAAACATTAAAATAAATAGTTATATAAACAAATGACTGTATATTTACAGTTCTAAAAAATTTTTTTTTTTTTTACTCATATGTCTTCTGCCGTACTTACCTTAAGTTTCAAATAAAAGCAGTGAATAAACCTCATGCTAGTTTGAATATCTTTAATCACAGTGTTTGTACTTCCAGGCCAAATTCCTCTGATTTTTACAGCCGGAAAAAGTCCAGACTTTGAGGTTTTTCTGAGTTTTATATGTCGCTCCATAACTTTCCACCTGAGATCTGCAGTCACTTCTCTACTGAGACGTTAAAATGTTTTGTTTGTTCTCCTGCAGCGTGCCGAGCTCGGCATACAGAACCCAGACCGTTTTATTATCCTGTCGATAAGACAGACGTGCAGCAGAATTGATTTTGTAATCAGTGCTTTCAGTTTGACTGTAGTGCGCAGGAGGTGAACCAAGCGGAGCTGCTAATAAATGTTCCACCTCCTGCACAAATGAAGCTTTTTCGTTGGGAAACCCTGACATCTTGTTAGCGTTGAAGCTGCAGCCTGCAAACACAAGCATGCCCATTCAATGTCTACATTTCATTAGCAATGAAAGAAATCCAAACCTTGAGCTCTCCATCTGTATGGCAATGTCTTTATTTTCTTTAAAGAGGCTTTAGTCTTCTCTATGTTCCACCCAGGGTCAGCGCCTCTGCTAAAGTCCTCCTAATTCTCTGGCGGTGACAGTGGCTGGCCTGGGGTCAGCTTCAGAGTGAATTTCTCAGTCAGCTGCAGAAAATTGTGCTGTGAAATATTCATCATCATTAAACATGAAAACCTTTTTTCGTTAAGCTCCATCTCTCTTTCTGCTGGACTTCGCTCCAGTTTGATAGTTCAAACCACATGAGGTGCTTCCACCTCTCCTCCAATTCTTTCAAATCACATTTTGTTCAGTTTACTTTTTTTTAAAGATCACATTCTGAATCTAATAAACAAAAACACCTTTGAGTGAATGCATGGAGTTATTGAGTCTATAGAACAGCTTTTCAGATGCAGAAGGAAGCAGCTACAGATGGAGAGGCTCAGGGATCAGGACAAAGAAGAACTTTTTCTGAGACTGACCACCTATGGTATCCATCTGACTTTTTATTCTCAGATTTTATGTTTCCACTGTCAGGCTCAGAACAAGAGGACCCAGTATTCAAGGTGGAAAAACAGTTAGATTTCTCCAAAACGTTCATTTAGAAAACAGAACTGCAGTGAAAAACGAGGACGTCTAAGGCAGGAACCTCTAAAGGGAGAGAACGCAGGTTAGTGACCACGTCTATCCGACAAAAAATTATAATGAACGCGTGAGTCATTAACCTGGTCTTATAGTTCAGTCCGAGCCCAGAGGTTGGTTCTAGCCTGACGGCTGCCAACAAGACTAGGCGATGCCACCTAGTGAGTCCCAGACGCTGAAGCCCCGGAGGTCAGATGACAGGCAGGAGATCGGAACCGAACAAAGGAAGGGAGGCAGGATAGTCCAGAGAGCGAGGCCTAAGCCACTGTCAATGATGTGCTTGAGAGTCAGAGCCAGATCAGAGTTTCAAGGACGAAGTCGGGAAAATGGCAGGCTCAAAGGTCCAGAGGCAGAACTGGCCAGGATCAGGCAAACAGAGCGATCTTAAGCAGCTGAGGCTGATCAGAAGGATTGTCTATTTATTCACCTCCACAGCAGCATTGTTGCGGCCGCGGCCGAGCCATGTCGTCAGGTCAGTCAAATAAAACTTCTCACAACACCCATTGGTCCGGTGTTACTTATAACTTCATCTAGCAAAGATAGAGAACAAACCTTTGACAGAAACTGCTGAGTTTTCGGCTCCATCAGAGCGCTTTAAGCTATGACCGCCTTCTCAGGCTTCTGCAGGTGAGGGCGATCTGAAGTTCTGTTTGATCTAAAGCTGTTCCTGCCTCTTGAGGCAGCTTCTTCAGGTTAGAGCTGCTGTAACCTTCATGTTAAACTAAAGGAGCTGCTTTCTGACCATGTAAGGAGGGGAAGATAAGGTTCTGTATTTTCCTGTCTCCACCAGCCAGGATTATGTATAGCAGCTCGACAAAAACTTCAGAGAAACTGCATCAACGGCATAACCAGTTAGAATGAATGGCTGGTGGGGGTACTTCCCACACTGCAAAAACGATCTAAAAATAAGTAAAAATGTCTTTAATTGAGTATATTTACCCTTAATTTGAGTAGGTAGATAAGATGATTTGCAAATGGAGTGAGCATTTTCACTCTCAAAATAAGATAATTAGACAATATGCACTTGAAATAAGGGTTAGGGTTTTTTTTCTTTGTTTAAATGTGAATTGTCTTGTTCCATTGACAAGGTTTTCCTAAATTCAAGAACAAATGCACTTAATTTAAGAAAAAATGACTTATCCAGATTTCAATTTTTTCAAGTGCAATAATACAGTGGATAATCGAAATAAAGTAACAATAAAGATTTTATGAAAATTAAGAATAAAGCTACAATTTCCTTGCAAACATCTTTAAAAAATGATAATATTTATGGCAAAAATGTAGCGGGCTGATTCAGGGCCCCCCCTCTATCCTGGGCCGGGGACAACTGACCCCGATCACGGGCGTGATCACAGCTATACTTTAACATCTCTGGGAGGAAGTGGATACACTCTGCTTTACAGATATATTATTGGAGGATTCTCCACTATGAGCAGCTTGTTTATGGTCAATCTACAGCATCTCAACCAGATTTCATCTTGGACTGTGACTTGGCTGTTATTGTAACATAAAGCTCAGAGATGAGCTTTATGTTTTGAGTTGGATTGTTGTTCAGTCCTAGCCTGGGTGCCATTCCGAACTTAGTCCCGCCCACAAGGTTTGAGGTCGGGAAGTTATACGATGATGGACAGATGATCAACAGTAACGTAATTAACCACGTGACCAAAGCGC